ATTGTTTATGAATTTGTTGTTGTTGTTATTCTTGATTGTTAGTAGTAGTTTAATGTCGCCTTGTTATTATGTAGGTGGTAGGTATTTGTTTTGTTGTTGTTATTGTTGTTGTTGCTGCTGCTGTTGTTGTTATTATTGTTGCTGTTTGTTGTTGTTGTTGTTGTTTTGTAGTTGTTGTTGTTGTTTTTTTTAATCCATTTTATTCACAAAAAAGTGAGAGTCAGCCTAACAATAAATGCTTATCTATTGTTGTTGTTATTGTTGTTGTTGTTACGATGTTGCAGTGATTGTTACGATGCTACGATGTTGTTGTTAACAAGTTCTCGCGTTTGTTAACAAGGTATCCAGACGAGCGTGGTTGAGCACCCATCAGAGCTGCATGTCGAATTGAAAACAGTTGAATATTTGAATTCATGTAGCTAGGAATATTACAAATATTATTTTTGAAAAATAAATCTAATAAAAAATGTAATTAAACTAATTAAATCTTCACCATCATCATAATTATCACCATATTTTGGTGTAAAATTAATAGGAATTTATGTGAAGTCGAAATTCAATGTGTCGATTGAATACAATTTTTGTCTTTCCCATTAAATTTTACATGTAGCTGAAGATGTCAGTAAATTTTCACAAGCTTGTACCTAGTCTGGCCCTATTGTATATTTTGGCCTTTGTAATTGTATGCCGACAGCATGACGCGTCTGTATTCTATAGAGAAATTGTTAACTAATTAATTAATTAATTTAAAGTTAATTAATTAAAAATTTATTTGCTAATGGAGGAATCGAAGATGTGAAAAAAATGTTTTTAAATGTGAGTCTGTCATTTAAACATAATTCACTTTTCTTAAATGATAAATCAATGCACTAAATAATATTTTTGTGTCTACCTAGATGAGGTTCTTTCAACATTTTTTTGTCTTAAAGTGTCGTTGGTAAAAAGTTGATGATGATGGTGATGGGGATAGTGATGATGGTGATGATGATGATGATGGGGATGGTGGTGATGGTGATGATGGTAGTGATGATGATGGTGGTCACGGCATAGTAACAGTTTCAACGAACGTAATTGAATTCATTATCCTACTTAGGCAGTTTCATTATTGCATGGTCTATTTTTAGAGAACAAGAACACTTTATTTTTTTTTGTTTCTTTCTCTCTCTCTCTCTCTCTCTCTCCCTCTTTTTCTTTCTCTCTTTTGTTCTTTACTTCTTTATCTCTTCCTTTTTTTTACTCTCTCATTCATCCTCTCTTTTTTATTTCTCTTTCATTACAACCATTTTTCTTTCTGTATTCAAGCCTATTAACATGAGTAATGATATTTAAATAAAAATATATAAATATATATTTCAGTAAATCGAATCAAATTTAAAATCAATTTATTATACACGTAATTGCGCTAAACCATTTTATTATTCAGATATTTATATATACGTAAACACATTGATGTGTGTTTCTTAAAAAATGAAAAAATTGTGATGTCTAATGTTCATACTGATGTTTAAAACTGGTCTTTGTGTTTGTGTCTATATTCCATATTATAGTTTTTACTTGCGTACAACGTACATGTTCATTTTCCTATATCACGCATTTTCCAATATTACACAATGTCCTTTACAATAAAGCCAAGAGATGGTGTCCTGATTCAATTTGCACATGTTGGCAGTGCTGTCAAAAATAAAAAAGTAGTGACTGTGGTGACGATTGTAGCTGCAATGATGTATTTCCACTAATACTAGTACCACTACTACCAATACTTTTATTAGTAGTAGTAGTAGTAGAAGTAGTAGTAGCAGTAGTAGTAGCGGTAGAAATGACAGCAGAGAAAATATTAATAAAAATCTGTATTGTTAAACTAGTTGCAGTTTGGGTTGTAAAAAAAAGCACTAAATATACAGGTAGTGGTGTTGTGGTTGTATACATGTTGTATAGACTGATGTGTAGTAGAATACTATTAGTATTCATTATTAAAAATAATTTTTTAAGATAACATCTACAGATACAACATGGATGAAAATAACATGAGTAGGATTGAAATACAATCTCAAGTTGTGAAAGATTTAAAGATTTGCCGTGCCCTCCAAAATGATGTTGTAGCAAAATTTCGTTATGATATTCTAAATGCAATGCTATGAAATTAACACAATTTATCTTTAAAATATCAAAAATTGCTAAAAAAAATATAATAAAAAATATATTCGTTGATATTCATGTTTATAGATATTTGCATTCTGAACATGCAAGAATTCACTCAATCATGGCCGATGCTACAATATTTAAGTGAATGATTGGATGGCTTATAATTCTGAAAATTCAGCAAGGACCGTGTTTGCTGACGAAACTTACGCAGATTTGCATCAGGAAATAAATTCTAGTTACCATGCTAAGATGACCAATCAATCAATCATTTTTAAGTTTGACAATCTCGAATACTTTCCGAAGTTGATAGATTCTTCGGAATTGAAATGTTCTCTGCAAAGTGTTCACCTTCCTACGATGAACGTTGAAAATACTATCCATGAAGTTCCATAGAAATCCAGAAATGAATTGTGACATCCTCAATAGAAAGATTGTAAACTTTTATAAAATTCTACAACATTTTAAAATATAAGAACAAAATTTTAAAATATTCATAAAAACAAAATTTTTGGGCAATTTTTCGACCGCCTTTCTGCTGCTTAATGTGATTGCCACGATGCTGCTGCTGCTGAGGATGCCAAAGATGATGATAATGATGATGCTGATGTTGACGATGATGATGATGATGAAGAAGATGATGATGATACTTTGGTAGGAGCACCATCCACGTATTTTATTTTTAACAATGGCGAATTATACATTCTGTGCTCTCAGGTTAAGAAGACGATTTAATGCATTTTCTGTATTTATTCCGAGACTTATTCTATTCAAGTTTTTTGTTGTTTTTTCATTTATTTCCTTTTCTTAGTACTTTTTCCTGTCATCAAAATAAAAAAATATAATATGATAATAATAAATATGAATAATTATATCGAAAATAATAACAATGAAACTTTGTTGGTTTTAACGGTTATTATGATGGAAAGAAGGCAAAGGGATGAGTAGAAGATGATGAAAACGATGACGACGACATGATGGTAAAGATGATGATGATAATTAAATGTGATAACAAAAGATAACAATGATGATCATCATCATTGTGATAGCGAGATTGAAATGAGATGATTAGACGAGATAGAATCTAATCTGCGGGACTTAAAATTGCGGTTGCAGTTTGTTTGTTTGTTGTTGTTCGTCCGATTTTAAAAAGTTTTTTCTTCAATTTTTTGTTTGTTTTTTTTCTAAATTTATCTGTTTATTCGTTCTCTTATTTGTTCATTCGTGCATTATTTCTCCATCAATCATGCAGTTGTTCACCCTGAATTCATTAATCATTCATCAATCATTCATTAATCATTCATCAATCATTCATCAATCATTCATTAATCATTTATCAATCATTCATCAATCATTCATCAACCATTCATCAATCGTTCATCAATCATTTATCAATCATTCATCAATCATTCATCAATCATTCATTAATCATTTATCAATCATTCATCAATCATTCATCAACCATTCATCAATCGTTCATCAATCATTTATCAATCATTCATCAATCATTCATCAACCATTCATCAATCGTTCATCAATCATTTATCAATCATTCATCAATCATTCATCAATCATTCATTAATCATTCATCAATCATTCATCAATCATTCATCATTCATTCATCTATCATTCACATATGCACTCGTAGTCATTTTCAAATTTCATCTCCAACTATCATTTCATTTCTTCATTTATTGCAAATCCACCACTTTTGCACTGTGTGTAGCAGTATCCAGTTTAAGTACCAATGTGCCTCGTACGTGTAGTAGTATAGTAAGTACTGTTTGATTCGTGTAGTTTGCTATAAAGGTAGATTTATTGAGTGCCTCTGTTTGACGTCACATGAATTTTCTTTTTTTTCAGAAAAACTTTAAAGTTAATGAAATTGAAGGCGCATGCATGTGGATGTATTTACGTGTGAGCGTGTTTTCATACGCTTTTGTCTGTCTATCCATTCATTTATCCATCCTCTATCTATCCATCTATCTATCCATCCGTCCATATTCTATCCATCTATTCATCATTTCATCTATCTATCAATCTATCTATCTAACAACTTATCATCATTACTTTTTGTGCTATTAATATTCATCTGTATTGTTGTAAACATTTTCATTATCATCATCACCATCTTCATCATCACCATCAATATCATCATGATGATTATATATCTTCCCTTTTATCGCCAACAAATGGCTTCTAATGAAGAAGCTAATGAAAACACCTCATGGGCGTTGTTTATGTACATTGTGATGATGACGATGATGACGTTGGTGATGATGGCAACGATGATGATGATCATCATCATCATCAATACCATCTTCATCATCACCAGCAGCAGCAGCAGCAGTAGCGACATAGATGTAACGTCTACGTGGATACGCCGCGTGACGCGCTTCAAAGCTTCACATCCGGTGTGGCAGACGTCAGGATGCTGAAAAAAATAGCGGCAATAAAAAAAATGTCTCGCTATGGAAACAGCAGCATTGAAGATGTAATTACATTTATCGGTGTGTTAATAAGTAAATGCGTAATGTACCAGTACTGCATTAATGTTAGTAATTATACAGCGAAAAATC